CCCCCCCACCCCAGTTCTGGGATTAAAGGCATGTGCCACCACTGCTTGGCACTAATTGCCAGCTGTAGGCACTACAGTCAAGAAGCATGGTGAGAACCAGGCAGTGGAAGGCACACATTCTGTGGTACTAAACCAACAGATGTTGTCACGTGGGAATAGGGGGCAGGATGCAGGATTGCACTGAAGCTCTTCCCAGAGCTTCCCCTAACAAAGGTTTGCTCATAATAGGAGCATCTTACTTTTACATTTAGCCCATAATACCAGCAGGGGGAGGGCAGGGCACTCTGTAGTCATCTTCAATTATCAGAAGATTCATAGGCTCTGAAAAGCCTCACTGGAGCCTGTGATTTAATTCTGAAGTGTGCAGGTCTTTTCATGTTAAAAATTTTGAGTCTCCTTTCCAGGAAAAAAAATGTCACCAATCACGAGTATAATACTTAGATAGCTGAGTGGGTTATTGGTAGTCAGATGTCCCCTTTAGTCAAGACAAAAAAACAAGCACCACAAAAGGCTGCAAAACATGATGTTGGAAAGGACAAGGAGAAGAATGTTTTAGTTCTACAGAGGAACACCTTGTTCAGAGCAATTCTCTAATAGTTAATGATGAAAAGCCTTCACTAGCCCTCATTTCATGGTGTGTGCAGAGCTGATGAATGTGTTGGGTTCTGTAGTGCAATCTGCAAGATAAAGTTGAGATTTTGCCATCTTGTAGGATGAATGACTTCATTATGGGAAAGTAATATTTCCTGAATTTTACTGTGTACCAGATACTAGCCTAGGTCACTGTGACCATGGAGTGGAATGCTCAGGACAATGGAGACAGGAAAACAGATGGCTAAAATACAGAACAATAAATACCGTCGTGGGTACAAGCTTTGAGGGCCTTAGTGGCCCAGAGGACTGACTTGACTGAGCATCTAGGGTCAATATGCTTAGCAGGCAGCTGGTCAATCAGTAAGAAGTTTAGAATACGGCGAAAATGAGGGAAAGACCTTCAGGGAGGTGACTGTCTACTGAGGGATGATCTGTTTGGTTCAGATTGGGACCAGCAGGAAGCAGAAGCCAGTGGGGATATGGGTAGCTCAGGACATGATGGAAGAATACTGCAACTCCAGACTTCATAGAGCAACAGACTGACGATTCTAGACTTTGACAACACACTGTGTGCTCTAACAGAAGGATCAAAGGCGTTTACCAGCCTCTCTAGTTTCCTATGAATTCTTGCTCTTCATAGTTAGGCCTTGTGATGGATGACCTCAGTGACTTCTTTTCTCCGAGGAGAGTAGGCCTTGTGGTTAACGAATGGCCCTGAAGCCATTAGAATTTCTGTGGCTCTGTGGTCTGGGCATGGCTGGGGTATGGGATTCTATCATTAATACTCGTGCAAGTGTGTGATCAAGGTGTCCTCTAGGCTGGTCATTTCTCCACTGGGGGATGTCTGCTTCTCAGTCCCTATGTTAGAATTGGCAGCATCCAGTTCCTTACAGCCTATGGCTCTGAGCATGTCTACTGCTGTCTGTCAGATGAGTGGAGGTTGACCTCAGGTTCTTGTTAAGTAGACTACGTGGGGCAGCTCACAACTGAAAAGCTGAACTCTCCCAGCAAGTGTGAAGACAGTGACAGTGAGTGAGCAAAGTGAGCGCTGACCCAGTCCCCATCGCTAAACCACCTTACTTCTGTGATGTTTCCTTCCACAGAAACAGGCTATCAGGTCAGCCAATAATCTGGAAGATTCCATAGACAGATGAATCTCAGGAAGCAGGGAATGGTAGGGGCCTTCTCAAGGGTCATCTCATGCCCAATCTAATTGTTTTCTGCTCTGTAGGAAATATTCCTTTCTATGGATCACCTAGGCCTCAGAGAAGTACAGCGCTAGAGACCCATGAACTGTAGCTCATGTTATGATGCCCAGAGATCATCAGCAGGTGGCAAACCTCTGTTATGTGTAAACTGACCATGTTAAAGAATAACAACAAAGGCTAGGTAAATAACTCTATGGTAGAGTGTTTGTATAGCATGCAACAAAACTTGGAGTTTAAGCCCCTAGTATTACAAAGCAAACAAAAATGACAACAATAGCAACAACAAAAATACCACAACTCCCTATAACAAAAACCAAAAATAAGTCATAAATTATTGAGTGGATCAGTGTGTATATATTTAGCCATGAGCAAATCTATCATAATTAACTCTTAGCTATTGGGAAGGCACATAAGAGGAGCTTATGAGGTGGACACTAAACAAGGGTCTTTTCTTGACTTTGGAGTTGGTTATGAAAGTGTGTTTGTTATGAGATAATTTCTCGAGAACAATTTTGTTTGTGCAATTTTCTTTACATATGCTGTACTTTGATGAAATGTTTACTTAGAAGCACTTGAAATCTGGAGTGTGGACACCTAAAGGCATCAGGCAGTAAAATGACCTCAGGTTTACACCTGTTGTATTTGACTTGACAATTATTTAAGCAAAGCTAATGGTAAATTTAAATGAACAACTATGAAGTTTCCGGAGGTGTAAGTCTTGGATCATAAGCTTGTAGGAGTATGGAAGTAGAAGAGATTATGGCAGGCCTCCAAAAGAGATGATACACAGAGAACATAGGCACAGACAAAGACAGGTACTTGAACACTGCAGTTTCAAGAGTTTGGGTAATGAGGAACCAGGGACAAGGAAAGTCAAGAAAGAATGTTATAGAAGCAATCAGGTAGACATGTCCAAGGTGGAACAGTGGTCAGCAGCTTTAGATATATTAATGAATATGAAGATGGATAGTTAACCTTTGGATGAGCCGACATGGAGGTTACTGATGAGCATCCCTGGCTTGATAGAGTGGTAGGGATGAGCGCCTGGCAGACCAGAAGTAAGACTGTGAAGGGATGGCCACTGGAGACAAGGAAGAGAGTGGAACCTGAGCTAGACAGAGGTAGGGTCAGAGAGGACTTGCATCGTAGAAGAAATAACACAGTGCGTGAGCATCAGCGAGGATGCCCCAGTGGAGAGGGGAGATTGCTGAGTCATAGGAGAGTGTCCTGAGTAATAGAGCAGAAACCATGGTGCTGAAGGGGAGAGGGCAGCCTGTGCCCAGAGCACAGATCTTTCAATTGCACACACAGGAAGGAAGGCAGTGTGTGTTCTTGCTGGTGTGGGCAGTGGGTGTGAGAAGTTTGTAAATGCTTTTCTGGTTGTTTTCATTTCTTCTAAAAGTACAGAGCAAAGTTATCGGCAATGAGTGATGATGAGGAGGTTTGAAATACAATGAGAAGAACTTTCTTCTTTTCTAATTGTTGTGTGTGAGAACATGTTTGTGTGTTTGAGTATGGGCGTGTGTACAACAGTGCCTATGTAGAGGTCAGAGAACCTGTTTGAGACAGGTCTCTGCTCATTTTTGTCTCTTCTGGCGAGCTGGCCTGCTGGCTTCCAGGGACTCACTGTAGGAATACCAGTGTTATTGGTACATGTTCCTGTGACTGACAATATATGGGCTTCAGGGTCCAAATTCAGGTCTTTACGCTTTTGTGACTGGCACAGGTTTCCTTATACATGCTGAGCCCTCTTCCAGCCCAAGGGAGTTTTAAATATTTGGAGTAGGTGGGCCTTCTGTCTATGTGTTACTTTCATTGGTTAAATAAAGAAGCTGCCTTGGCCTTTTGATAGGCCAGCTCTTAGGTGGGTGGAGTAGACAGAACAGGGTGCTGGGAGAAAGAAAGCAGAGTCAGGGAGATGCCATGAAGCTCCGGCCCGAGATGGACATAGGTTAGAATCTTCCTGGCAAGCCACGGCCCCATGGTGATATACAGATTATTATAAATGGGTTAATTAACATGTGAGAGTTAGCCAAGAAGAGACTAGATATAGTGGGCCAAGCAGTGTTTAAATGAATAGTTTTGTGTAATTATTTCGGGTAAAGCTAGGCAGATGGGAACTGGGCATGATGCGGCCCACTGGCTGCTCATCTTTGCAACAAATATTCATTTAGAAAGGTGAAAAGGGAAAGAAGGTGGAGTGTGATTCCTGGTTGACTCTTAGTGACTGTCCTTTCAATCTTCCTCTCTTTGGAGATTAGCAGCAGAGGTATGGAGGATAGCTTTATTATTATTAACACATATTAATTAACACCTCATGATTCTGTATTATGTTATAGTCTTCACATCCAAACACTATGCATTCACCATGGATGTCCACCTTTCTGCTCTTGTTTCCTGATGGCCCTTCTGTTCCCAGTCCTTAGCAATTGCTCGTTTACTTTCATGTTGGTTTCTTAAAGGTTTTTCCTTCTAAGGGAGATCATGGGATGGTTGTGTTTATTTGGTTTGTTTTCATTTAACCTAATGCCTTCTAGTCCTATGCCTCAAATGACAGTATCTCATTCTTCATTATGGCTGGACATAGTCAGACATTCAATAAGTATTATGAGAGTGTGTACTGTGTATCAGTGGTTCCCTCAGGCATGGGAGGCCAGCAGTCCTATCAGACAAACATGTTGGTCCTCATGGAGCTTTCAGTTCAGAAGAGGAAGACTGAAGCATGACCCCGCTGACATTTTAGGATGAGAATGATGATTGGTGGTCTTGAACTTGAGATGAGAGCAGTGAGCATGACTGTGAGTGACATTTGACCTGTGCATATGCTTCCATAGGGGTGGGCAGAGATGGGTCCAATGGTGGAAAGGAACTTACTGTCAACATGCCACGTGTGTGTGTGTGTGTGTGTGTGTGTGTGTGTGTGTGTGCGCATGACTATGTCCTCACTCATGCATACACATGTGGAGGCCAGAGGAAGAGGTGAGATGTTCTCTTCTACCTGTTTCCAACTTTTTGCCCCGAGTCGAGGCCATTCATTGACTCGGAAGGGACCTTTCTGTGAGGCTGACTGTTCCAGGAGCCCTCTGGATCCTCCTGTCTCTTCCCCCACTGCAGTTCTGAAATTACAGGCACACGCAACTATCCTGGCCTTTTATGTGGGTGCTAGGGGTTCAAACTCCGAGTGTCCTAGTTAGGCTTACTATTGCTGTGATGAAACACTGCACATGCCCAATTAGCACCGTGGTTGTAGAGATGGAAAAAAGCCATTTGGGATCAAATTATTCTAAGAATGCGGTGTTAGGCCCAATTCTCTGCTCAGGCTTCTTCTTGCAGATACTGACAGACACTCTACCCGGTCATACCGACAGACACTCTACCTGGTCATACTGACAGACACTCTACCTGGTCATCCTGACACACACTCTACCTGGTCATCCTGACAGACACTCTACCCGGACATACTGACAGACACTCTACCTGGTCATACTGACAGACACTCTACTGGGACATTGTGAGGCCCTGGCTAACAGACAGAATTTCTTACCTGAGAAATGAATTAACATTGAAGTGGGCATTGAATTAATATTGAGGGTATTGGTGGCATACACATGCTGTTTGCTACCCCTCATTACCTTCTGCCTGGGATTTAGACCTAAAGCCTCCTGCTGAGAACTCCCCTGTTATCAGAGAGCTATAAAAAGAGAATTCCACTTCTTCCACATAGGCTCTGGTTCTCTTCAGTGAACCTGCCAAACTGTCTCTCTGGTGATGCCAGAATCCTTACCATGCAGTTGCTCCATCTGACTGTCTGTCCATGGTATTGTAAGTCTCCTAATAAACTCCTCAGTTCCTAGTAACCTGTTCCAGTGTCATCCTGAAACACCCAGACCCTGAGCAAACCTAACAATTGTCGGGGCTGAGTGATCCACCTTTTTATTGACCCTGATTATATTTTGACTCTGTTCTCTTGCTGAAAATGTGGATGACTGGTGGCCAGCGAAATGAGGACACAGCACTGATACTTTATCCTTGCACACATCCTTGCACACGTACTGTTTTGGTGGAAGTTAGGCATCTCATCTTTGAATAAAAAAGGAAGCCATATTTTTATATATAAATATGCATGTTAATAGAATCTGACTTACTCAAATAATTTTAAAAATCTACAAAAATTAAGAAGATCTATTTCGTGACCTTATGCCTCAGGTAGACTGCTGTGTTCCAGTTTTACTTAGTGAAGTCAGGATGATCGGCGAAGAGCCTGTGTGTACAAATAACTGCACTTCCGGGTGTGCCAGCACCCGGTGACACACTCAGATGGAGTCACCTTAAGTGTGGAGGAATAGATGGGTCAGGGAGGACCAGCCTAGAAGACAGACTGTCTGGCTCTTTCACTAGCTTGAGGGTGAATATATACAGCTTCTTGGTGGCTTCCATGTGTGAAGAGGTATTGTGTCAGACCTCAGTCGTGTTGCGAGATTAGACTATTAATGGGCAAAACCACTTCAGTTGTGCTGCGACAGATAGGGCCTTGTCTCTGTGAAAGGGCCGAGGAAGTTGACTCACCGAAGTTTAGATACGCATGTCCTCACTGATGCCTCTTTCCTTCCTGTTTTCTTCTTGGCCAGTGCAAAGAACATGACCTGGCCATGATCAACCAACTGCTGGATGATCCGAAGCTGACAGCCAGGAAATACCGGGAGTGGAAGGTCATGAACACCCTGCTGCTCCAGGACATCTATCACCAGCAGCAGGCACCTCAGGACCCTGAGGACACCCCCCAGGAACTCAAGAACCCCAGCTCTTCTAACTGTGTTGAAAAGTCACTTTGAGCAGAAGCCAGGACTGCTCCCTTCCTTGTTCCTGTGCCATTCTACAAGACACTGCCAGGGCATACATTTTGCTTACAAGGAAACCCCAAACCCAGTTCCTGAGGCATCCTCCCTCCTTCCTGAGGATGCGACCAGGGTGAAGCCAGTTTTGATGCAGTGGGAGTCCTGGCTTCCGTGTGTTGCATCTATCGATATTGGAGTTATGGAGTTCATCCGAGCAGGTGTATCTTCTGTGCTCCTACTGGGAGCTGCTAGGAGTGCTAGGCTCTAGAGGGGATGTGGAAGGGGTAACCCCTCTTTTGCTTTCAAGAGAATTGCAACCTACCATAGACAAGAGACCTGATTTTACTAGAGATAACAACTCATAGGAACATTCCGTTTTACAAAGAAACATGGAGGACCCCCTTTGGTGGGCAGCAGAGTTTGAATGGAGAGGTTTCTTCCACAGTAGCTGCTGGAACTGGACATGTGTTGGCATTTGTGGAATCCAAGGCTCTTCCTGCCTTTGGTACAGAGAGCAGTGCCTTGTCGATTTGTTGAGTGCTTATTTGAAGAGTATGGCCTGGTGAGGTGGAGAGTGGGGAGCCCACTGAGGAGGCAAACTTTCTGTTCCACTCAGAGGACAATTTCATATGTTCATGCTGTGTCTAGGGTGTGTGTGGGGATCTGATTAAGGTGTCCCTTCCTCCCAAAGTCTAGGAGACAGACTATCACAAGTTATTTGGAGACCTTTGTCCCCCACTCCCAGCTTCTCGGAATAGTGGTAGGAGATTGTAATACCCATTGCCAGGAATGTCATACTGTGTTCATCCCAGGCTGTGGTTTAAATTTATATTCAGCTTTCCTGGGATCCAAACTTGCAAAATTATTTCTGAATTGTCCTGAACTTGGAAAAGAACCTAGACCCACAAAACAACAACAAGACAGTTAAGCAGGATCGCTTTATTTTTGTAAGTTTATGTGTCATATAGTGTGAGATGTGAATAGCTATCTATGTTTCCTATTTAAATATATTTATAGAAGTGCAAGTCATAGTGTTTTAAAAGACTACTATTATGTGTTGTTCTATATATATATATTCTAGAGGTATATCATTTTTGCTTGAGAAAAATAGGCATACTAGTGACTTATTGAAGCTGTGTTGCACTATGATTTGTGAGGAATGCTCAGGAAATCTCATGAGAAAACTATGGGAGCATGTATTGATATTCATTTCTTAATAATGAATATCTTTTTCTGAATGCTTTCTTTCTATTACTGTCCCCCAGCCAGTTCCAGAGCTCTTAAATTTCAGTGTTTCTTGCACATCATTTTTTTTAACTTGCACCTTAGACTAGCTCATCTACTCATAAAATTTAAGGTTTATGACATTTATACCATACATTGTAGACCCAAAGGAACATATCTCATGAAATCTCGAACCAAATGAAATAAAAACAATACAATTCCCAACTAAATATTAATAGAAATTAAGGTTTGTTAAAGAAATCTCATAGAGAAACAATATATTAGTCACAGTGACATCTTCTCATCATAAAAATAACCATTATTTGAGTACAGATATAAAATAAATAAATAAATTACAAAATGTAACCACAATTCACTAAGAACCCATCTAAATCTCACCTGCCCTTTGCAAATTGTTGACAAACATATTCCTATCATAGCATCAAATGTGGCTTGACAGATTTAAATAGAAGTAATCACCCAATCTATATCTACAAATTAAATGTAAAGAATCTAGACCCCCTTCCCCGCATCCTACTACCCCATGGGCTCACTGTCATCACAGGATGACTGTGAAGTATGGGTTGAGTGAAATGCCTTTCTCAAAGCCTCAAGTGGTACAGCCAGACTCTGAGGTTGAATTCTGGCTCTGTCAGCCTTCACTGTTGAGGAAATTATTGTCAGAGCACAATCTGCTGGGGAACACGAGGTCTGAGGAGCTCCTGTGTCCATCACACCAGGCCAGGCACATCTGGCTGTCATGGCAAGGGCTTTTTCCGAATCCCCAGGGGCTCTGTTGTGAGCACTCCCTCCCGAAAGGTCCTGTCGCCTTGCCCCTGGGTTCTCCAAGGATTGGAGATGACCTGACTGTTGTGTTTTTTTTTTTCCCCCCCATCGACACTAGGTTACTACTGTGAGAACTTTAGAGCTGGAGGAGAGAGGAATCTTTAAAGAGATAGAAAGGGCTTATTTTTTATTTTTATTTTTTTTCCTTTTGAGCCCAATTATGTCAGCTATCAAAGAGTTAGTGTTTAGGAGTGTGTCCTCTGTTCTCAGTTCTTACTTTCTTCTCAGCTCTTGTATTATAGTGACGCTCATTTCCTCAGGGAGACTTCAGATCATATTGTCATAGAGATGAAACAAATTAAAAGAAAAATATTTTTAAGTCTTTTGAGGAGAGGCACTCTACCAGTGAAAGCCATAGTTAATTTTATGGACGCAGACTTCTTTGTAAAAAGAGAAAGACAATATTTTGATATAGCAATATTAATAATTTAGGTACAGAGGGTAGCAGTCCAAATGTCTCATTATATTGAAGAGCCACTGTGTCCAAATGCATTTTAGAATGTATTTCTGTTCCCGGCAAACAGAATGGGATATACAAAGGAGATTTCCAATTTACTTCCCCTCAAACACTTCTGTATACTCATCCACAAGAGAATTCAGTCCTAGAAGTATGGACTGGCTGCCTGCCGAAGGTTTTGTGACACATAACAGTAAAAGTCCCTTATACTAGATTTTTTTTTTTTTTAGTCTCTGTGAAATGGGTGGGGGAGGGAATTCACAGAAAGCCCGGTGTCTCAGTCACACCAGGTCATGTGGTAGAGCACATTAAAATGGATTTTGCATTTAAAAAAGCAAGTTTTCCATATCCCCTGTTGTAAAGACACGTAATTGCTCCGTGCTGTTGTCTCTTAGCTTTAGTCCAAAGGGAAGCATGCCCCATGGAGACATTTAACATCCTGTAATAAAAACCATGGTTGAGGTTACCACATGTTCTGATGTTTGCATGGTGGGGCTGGGGTTCAACAGTGCATGGTTCTGGGGCCAGATGTTGGTGTGGGGTTGATATCTTAGCTGTCGTTGTGCTTTTGGTCCTTGTCGCCAATCTGTTTTGACTAAACTGAAAACACAGGCATGCCTCATTTCTCCTGTCCCCGGCTCTCCGGGATAACTTGTAAGATAACAATAAAAGCAAGCCGTCTAGTAAAATGGTCTGGATCAAGACAATCAAGCTGCACTACTGTTGTTGGTTTTCTGCCGTGCATTATCGCCTCCTCTTTGAAAACTTAAAGTAAACAATCCCAAACCCACCAGACACACTAACAGCAAGGCAGCATGCTGCCCTGAAGCTGGGTTTTGCTCTTCAACAAAGGTAATTGCGCCCTCTGGTGACCATGATAAAGATAACAGATTCCGGAGTTGATGGGATTTTAAAATGAAAGATAATTTTATGTTGGGGACTTATTTCTACATGCACTTCTGTGGTCTTTGTCAATGCCTTTCATGTTACAGGTCTATCGGTATAACTATTTCAAAAGTTGTCGCCGCCCATGAAATTTGGCTTGTCTATTTGATAATATTATTGTCCATCCACATTATTTAGAGAATTTTTTTTAAAACACATATTTACAAGACTTACAAGCTTATTAAAATACGAACAAAGAACATAATGAAAATAGGACAGATTGAGTTCCACTTTTCCCCGCCGACCCCAGAAAGCTGACCTGCATTTCCGCCTGTTTCACACATCCACACATCCGGGGTTGCAGTGTCCACAGATGATGTCCTTTCCTGTTTCTCTTCCCCTCCCGCAGTTCTTTCCTTTTCCAGCTGAGTTCCATTCTTCCTCAGCTCCATCCTAAGTATTTCTAAGCGGTCCTCCCCCTCCCCTCCGCCCATCCCGCACCCTACGCAACCAGAAACAGTAAAGTTATTTTAGCTCAAAAGGATCTTGACTGGGGACGTAGCTCACAGGTAGCGTGCTTGCCTGGCGGATGGGAGGGCCCGGGTCTGATTCCCCTGCATAAAGTGAACATGGGGGGCAGGCAGCATGCTGATGGGAGGCTCAGGAGTTCATTTGTTATCCTCTGCGTTGGATTAGAACCTCGATCACACGAGACCCCGGCTCCACGAAAAGAAAAAAAAAAAGTATTAGCAAAAGATTAGCCAATGGCGTAATTACACTGATGCTTCTAGAACAACCTCTGAGTTTCCAAGTGCCGCTGTAGCAGAGCCTTAGCATTAACGGCTCACACATGCTCGCTTCCTTACAGTTCTGAGGTTGAGAGGCTACCACGGGGATTCCCAGCTAACATCAGGCACTGGAAAGGTGGCACGTTTTATGGAGGCTGGCAGGAGTTATTCCCTACAGCTTTCAGGAGTCACCCGTGTCTGTTGCCTGTGTGCCTCCTCTGTCTTCAAAGTCAGCACTGTCCTATTTCTTTGTGCCTTTTAAACCATGTCTGCCTCAGCCTGACATTTCTCAGTTGCCTTGTGGTCCCAGTGGATCTTTTGGAATTACCCAGGACAGCCTGTCTACATTTTTAATACTCACTTGTCTTCAGTTCCCCTGTACAGTCTGCTCACAGGTTCCAGATCGTGGCATTTACCACAAATGTCCATTTCAAAGGTCCCATGGAGTACCTCATACATCATCAATATCTACCAGAAAGTCTGGGGTTTCAAAGCTGTTAACAAGCTTGAAAGTCCTTTGCTAGGACCTGTATTTGATTTCATCAGAATGTGTTCCTGGCTGGGAATACCCCTGGCTTTGACCATCACAGGTATACAGATGCAAAGGCAAAACCCTGTTCAGCAGCCATGTCAGGTGTTCACAGTGTCTGCAAGCAAGGACAGGAAGGTCAGCATGGCTGGCGTTTGACAGATGTGAAGGGGAGTAGCGACTGAGTGCCCCTGGGTGCCACTGATGCACCGCAGAGAGAAACATGCCTGAGTTGATTCACAGTTTACTGTGAAGCCTGAGAATGAGATTGTTTGGCAGTCTTCATGGAAACAGAGGGCAGGAGGAGTTGCAAGCCAGGCTCAGGACTATTGGAAGCATGACAGAACTTCAAAAGAGACAAAATCTTCCCAGAGAAGGAACAAGATCCCAGGACTTGAGGTAAGGATGCCCAAGGTTTTCAGAAGCATAGGGCTCTGCAGGAAATGCTTGCCCCCTTGGTGGTTGGTAGAAACCCCCAGCCCTGAAGATTTTTCAGGTTATGTTTTTACATGAGGCAGGTGCCACATAGGGCAATGTCCTTTCCAGGAAGGAGATGGCAAGGGAATTGCTAGGTCCTTTGAAAAGCTGCTGGAGGTTGGAACTGTCACCAGAGGTTGCCACAAAGCAAATGCATTGTTTAGTAACAATGTCGATGATAGGCCTCCAGGACAGTAGAGGAGGCCAGACAGCCACATTTAACAATCTAAGCAATAAGTCAGAATTACTGTAATGGCAACCAGGTTGGAAATGGTGGCCAGGATCAAGGTTGTCATCAATTGTGATCTTGTGAAATTGCCAGTACAATAGGGGATGGCGGGACCTAGGGGACTCTAACCATCAGGTTGAGAATGTAGAGACTAAGATTAGGTACCTCACCTCAGAGAATGGGTGCTGTGAAAATTTAGGAGTCCATTAATCATGTGAAACATTTGAGTTCAGTGTGATGGGGCAAGTCAGGATCTATCGCTCCAAGTAAGGGGCAAATTTTGCGGCACCTTGCATTTCTGCTAGGAAGAATGAAGCATGATGCTTGGTGAAGCCTGTCAAAGCTTTCAAGGAAACATAATCCACACTGGAGAGCTTCCTGACTTTGTTAGACGGTATGAAAAGATTCTACTTCTGAACAGGAATGAGCTGTGCGGCAGGAGGAAACCAGAGATGTCTCGGGTCATCTAGTAGGGGAGATGTACACAGTATAGGAAGCCACAGTGTGGATTCTCTGAAGTCAGGCTTAAACATGAGAGCCACAACACACATAGCAAAGGTTCTTGAGTGAGATGACATCATCAAGAAAGAAAGGGCAACCGTTAAAAAATATTTCTGGCCTGTCGCTTAGCCCTGGTCCAGTGTCTAGTCATGGGCGCTGGTCACTTTGCAGCCAGAACTCTCAAGCTCTAGGTGCTATTCAGCAGCAATTTGAAGGAGTCCAGCAGCCAGTCATTATGAAGTGAAAATGGTCCATTCAATATTGGCTTTGGTACCTAAGAGGGCACAAGGAAATTAGGTGAACAGGTGGCCCAGGCATTTCTGTCACTCACGACTCCTGCTCACTCACTCATCTCTAACTCAGTTTACGTGTATGACCTCATAGGGAGCTTCTCAGGAGGAGTACTTTCTCGTCGGGACCTCCAGCATTCAAATAATGACATGGTGTCTTTTCATTAATTATGAAAACATGGCATTTAGCTTAGCCTTATTTCCAACTAGCTCTTATAACTTAATCAACCCATGTTTATAAGTCTACATTCTGCCACATGGCTTGGCTACCTCTCGTTATGGAACATCTGACTTGCTCTGTGTCTGGTGGCAAACAAATCCCCACCCGGTTTCTTCCCAGGACTCTCTGCCTCTCTCTGGAAATCCTGCCTATTCTCTCTGTCTAGCTATCAGCCATTCAGCTCTTTCTTAAACCAATCACAACAACATATCTTCACACAGAGTAAACAAATATTCCGTAACATTTCTCAGTGTTTGGCAGATAAAGAAAATGCTAATGCTCGATTCTCTAATAGCTGGCTTGCGGTATGAAGGGTGAGTATTGCCTTACAGACTTCTCTAGTGACTTGAAAGTTGGTGATAGAGGAAAACCCCCCGGGGGGAATAGTGCCTTGAGTACCACATCTGACCATCCTTTCTGTGTGAAGAAAGAAGTGGGCCAAGGTGCATTGGCATTCTACGGGGAGAGACTTAAGCATGAACTGTGGCCATGGTACCATGTGTAAGGAACTGATCTGTGTGCTTCGATTTTAATGCCCAGCAGACAGTGTGCATTCCAGAAGAAGCACTCAGCAGTCAAGTGCTCAGAAGGAGTCAGCCTAGGAAGGTCTCTTAGCTTGAGTAGATGACCACCTCAGGGCCTATGCACCATGCTGATGAACAGAGGAACCTCAGCAGTAGGGATAGAGGCTCCCGTGCATGTCCGCAAGCATGCACATGCCAGCAGGGGCTGAAAAGTCCTGTAACTGCTGCATCATGTCTGCATGGAACAATTACAAAATGTCTGAGCTCCAGTAGTGTATTATATTTGGGGAAAAAATTGCCATTTGCCCCAAGTTGATTAGATAGACACCTCTTATCTAAAAAAGGAGCAGAATTTTACTTGACAAGTAGAATCCCGACTTTGTGTAAGTCCTTCCTTTGAGTAGTGTCTCGGTCAATATCGCTGTTCAAAGGCTGACAGAACTTCTGGTTCACACATGGAATTCCATGCAATGTCAGTTTGGACCAGCAGCCTAGAATTGGACAAGAAAGTAAGGTCTAAAGCACACGTCTGTCCATGAGAACGAGGCACATTCTGTACTATTCTGGAATTGCTGACCTGGAAGGGTCCGGCAAAGGTCTCTTAAGGTGCAGCTGAAGGACTTTCACTGGACGATCTTTAACGCTGATGGAGCTCCATCCTTCAAGACAGATTTTATTTTATTTTTTAAATTGCTATTTACTTTTTACTTCTTCTTTCTTATGTGTATGGGAATGTCTGTTCAAGTGGTTGGGTGTGCATGTGATTGTGGGAGTGTGTGCAAAATGTTTTTGTTGCGCTCAGAGGTCAGCCCTGGATAGCTGTCTTCAGGCGCTGTCTGCTTTGTTTCTCTGAGAGTGCCTTTCATTGGCTCAGAATTCAGTCCTTTCATTGGCTCAGAATTCAGTGATTTGGCTAGACTGTCTGGTCAGCAAGCTCCGAAGATCCACGTGTTTCCTCCCCAGCTGTGGGATTACAAGCATGTGCCACACCTGACTCATTACATGTGGGTACTGGGGATTGAACTCGGGTCCTCGATCTTGCACAGAAAACAGTTTATTGATCGAGCGGCCTCTCCAGCTCCAAATAGAGGACATTTACCAAGGGGCCTCTATAGGCTATCCTCTTCACAAAGGGTTGAACTGTGTAGTTTAGGGAACTGAAAGGTGCACATAGGTCTAGCTCAGTTTGCCATTACTCCACAAAATCCACTTAAGGATTTATGACTTCTCTCCTCAAAAATTTAGGCTCTATGAACTGATAAATCCTG